AAGATAATCCTTATTTTCAAATATTATTATATGAAATTTTATTTAAATATTTTAAATATTAAAAAAAATAGATCATATGCTATTTTTAAGCTAAAATTGTTACACAAACTCTACAGTTTAAGGAATAAGTTTATATTATGCGGTAAGTTAACAGACATATAGGATCTAGTAGTATGTAGAAGGAACGGTAAAAATCCAGGAAAAGCTTATCTTGATTGCATAATCGACCCGCCCGCTACTTTCATCTCCAATCATTTCATACTCAGGCCTCATGCTAAATTTCTTTTTCGTAGCATCTTCTGCAATACGAAGGGCGGTATGTAGTATAGTTGAAACATACTCATTACGCATGGACTCCAAGCTTGTCATCACCAACGTTCCATAACTCTGAAGTCGTAATTTGATATCAGCCATACATAGTTCGAGATGCTTATTATTGTCTGGGACTTCGTGGGTATAATCTCTGTGCCCTCAGATGCGAGGTCATATTTTTCTAATACTTCCTTTAAGCTACGGTATGTCGAAAAAGCCCTCAACTTCTTATTCTTACACTCCTTGGCAAACTTTACGAGTCTCTTAGCAGGTCCACCTGGCATTCCCCACTTCTCAAGCTCTTCCTTGGGTCAAGTCAAAGAAGTCCTGGCCTTCAACCTCCTTCTTTTCTAAAATTTTGATAGCAGTCTCACTAAGTCCTAAGTCCCGCTCCTGCAAGAAATCTATAAGCTTGGCCATATCATATTTTTTAATTTCGTCCGCCAGTGAGACCGTCTCATTTCCAGCAACAGAGGTAGAGGTGGAAGCTGGAGTATAAGGTGTACTGGTTTCAGAAGACATAGTGTTGGGTTTTATAGTGAAAATAGGCTCGGACAAAAAATAGTGTTACGTTCCGGAGTAAGATAAAATTTTATTTCTGTTCGGGGAAAAGAATACTGGCCATTAATATAGGTTTTTATGTAGCACAGGCATTGCATCATTACACGTGACAGACTGATAAATCAGTCCTCCCATTTCTCATGGACGTTCGATAAAAATACTTTATTTATGAAATAAAAAACGTTGCCGGTAGCCGGCCTACAATACATAAATTTGGCCTATGCACGACTATACTTCGTGGCTAAGGCCTATCGCTATTACATGATGTTTTAAATAAATATATAAATATGAATTTTATCATTAGGGGGTTGTTCGGAGAAATGCTTAGAAATCAAATCATGTGGAGGCATTCCTGTTTCATTTAGACGTTTCCCACGAGAATATACTTCAATTTGTTTTTCAAATGATGTAACTCCCTCGGTATCATTGATCTTCCAGAGTAAAATGCTGGCAGGAGGAACCTTTTCAAATAAATGTGGCCACCTTTCTCTAATCATAATCCTTAACTGATCAACTGTTTCGCCGGTAGAGATTTTAAGTGTAGTAATACTTCCTTCTGATAGATTTGATCTTAGAGCTGTGTCGCAAGGTAAAAGAAGACAATTGAGAGTAATAATAATACTATTGGCCATTTCTTCGACTTCTAAATACAAGACCCATGGTGAGAAAAACTCGCTCCCATATACATAACTTCTGGCAGTGTTGGCAGATGATGTCATATGACTTATATGACTTATATGACTAATCATATGACTTTATCCTATGACATCATAT